GGATCTTGCTAAAATCCTATGAAGAATGTTTTTTTTTTTTTAAAGCATGCAGTTGAGCCAGTTGATTCAAGCCCCAAATGCAAAGCAGCCCGGAAGGTGTCAGTCAGGCCTGTGGACTGTCCTCTAGTCCTGACTGCCCACGCACACCGGTGTGGCCGCCAGAGCTGGGGAGCCTGTCCTGAGGCCAGTGCTGTTCACCGTCTCCTCTGTGCGGGGCCTGCAGGCCAGGGCCACGGTGCGGAGCAGCTCGCCCTTGTCTCTAGGCTCCCTGCCTGCCCCCCCGGGCACGTCCTGGCTCCCAGCTGCCCATGCTCGGCTCCCAATCTCTCTGGCCCGTGTGCGTGTGCTGTGCAGCCACTCTGAGTGCACGTCCACGTTCGTCTCCATCTCCACAGCCACGTGATCAGAGGACAGAAAAGCCCAGAGATCTGTCACCTCCTTTGGGGCCACTGCTCCCGTGTCACAGTGAACATGGATGCGGGCTCCCGAGGCTCTGCCTGCTGCTGTCGGTGGCACGGCTGCCCCAGCACGGCACTGCCCACTGCGGGGCGGGAGAGATGCGGAGAGGACAGTGACAGGAGAGCCGGCCTCGTCCTCGGTCTCCGCAGCGTCACCAATGTCCACGCGGTGCCAGGCTGCTCGGAGCCAGAGGACGTGGCCCGGGAACTCTGCGTTCCTGCCTCTCCAACCGCCCGCTTCTCTCCCCCTTTCAGCACCGTCAGCCTGTCTTCATGCACGCCCCAGCTTCTCTGGCTGTAATTCCTGGGGGGAAGTGTACGCTCACTCCCTGTCACCTGCAACGTGACCGGAAACAGCACCGACAGGAAGTGCCCGTGTCACAGCTCGGAGACGCAGCCGCCAGCCCTGCCTGCCTGCCTGGAGCCCGGCCCGAGCGCTCTGGGGCCAGCGCGGACAGCTGCACCCCAACCAGACATCCTCGCTGGGAGCGCCCTGGGCCACGGAGACTACACGTGGACCTGTGTGTGACACCCAGACCATTTCTCTTCCATAAATATACAAATCGGAGGCTCAGTTCGAGTTTCTGTGAAGCTCAGAACAGAACCTTGGGCCACGGAACGAATAAATTACAGCGGTGTTTATCTCAGAATAAAGAAAAGCTAGATGTACTGGCCAAAGGGGCTCTGGGTCTCAGCTTCCAGGGTGTCCACGGCAGGAAAGGCAACCCGCTGGCTGTCCCCGGACCAGACCACGGAGTCACAACGCGGGTGTGGGTTCTTCCCAGCCAGCCCTGCAATGAGCCTTCCCGCAAGGAACTTCCTGCAGGAGTAATTCCTGCCTCTAACTCATCCTGACCTCCGCTGGCTTCCCACGGGGCTGCTGTGCCAAAGCCACAGAGGGCACTCTGATGTGGGCGCCTGTGGGGAAGGAGCTCCAGGCGCCTCGCTGGCTCCACTCGGTGGCCGGGGACAGTGATGTTTAGTAGCTCCAAACTCGCATCTCATTTATACAGCAGATGTGACAGTGAATGAGTGACACAGTGCATGTGAATGAGTGACATGCTACACGTGAATGAGTGACATAGTGCACATGAATGAGTGACACGTTACATGTGAATGAGTCCAGAAGTTGTTCTTTGTCACTCCAGTGGGTCGTCCCAAGCCCTCAGGCTGTGTGTCCACGTGGGACCAGAGCGCTAGTTGAGGTCTCAGAGGAAACACGTCCATGAGAATGAAATGTGTCCGCAGGCACAGCTCCTCGGCGCTCCAGCGAAACTCCAGGACCTCGGGCCCCACCTGGGACAGCAGACCGGGGAGCGGACAGAGCGGTGCCCCCACGGGCCTGGCGGTCCTCGGACAGCGGAGCTGCTTCTCAGGCTGCTGTCCTGGCTGCTGGCTCTTGCCGCCGCCTCTCCACTGGGTATGTAGCTGCGCGTGCGTTCATTGCTGCAATTGCTATAGCCAGGTGGCCCCTCTGTCCCCTGGCCCCGAGCAAGTCTGTGCTCCAGGCCTGCCCTAAGGCCAATGGTAAGGAGGAGCTGAAAATGCCCCTCCTCTGCCCCAGGCCTGTGCCTGGCCCAGGCACTCAGCCCAGCTCCTCTGCCAGAGGGGCCTGCCCACAGGATGAGGGTACAGGCTGCAGTGGCATCTCTGCCCCTGTTCCCTGTCCAGTCTCCGATGCGCTCTCTGTGTGGGTACACGTAGAGCAAGAATCACCTTTACAGAGAAGTGCTTGGCAAAGTTAAAATTATTTATTTTATGGCAAATCACAGTAATAAAAGGCCAAGAGGCATCAAAAAGGAAACTACCAAATGAATGGTCTCCATGATTGGCCAGCCCCGTGCACAGGCGGCCAGAGCCCCAAAGGGGACCTGCGCCTCAGGATCCCACCAGCACAGCCATCAGCCCTGCACGGGAGGGGAGGAGAGGAGGGAAGAGGAGGCGGGAAGCTGCCAGTGAGAGAGTGATCAAAGTCAGGGATCCATAAACTGTCATGCTAAAAGCCACACACTTCCACCAAAACCAGGCCTGTAGATGTTTACGCTCTCCCTGTGTGCCTCCCTGCCCCCCTCTGCTGAGGAGACCCCGCCCCTGACATGCCTTCCTCCAGGTTGCCCCATCAGGCAGTAGACGCCCTGCGGTCACCATGACAAAGACGTCATGGAGGGTCAGGACACCGCCCCTGGTTGAAGCCGGTGCTGTGGGAACAAAGGAACCAAAGAAATAGTTCTGTCCAACGGCCATCTAACTGTTAGAGCTGGATTTAGTACTGGCGTGCCCCGTGTTAAGCTGACTCCCCAAATATAATAGACTTCCGATGTTGATAATTCACATAACTACAGAAAGAATGCACAAAGATTCTTGAAATAAGCAAATTATCTTGCACCTCGTAATACAAAATGTTTAAACATCATTACAAATAATCTCTACGAGAAAAGGGAGTTGAGATTAGCAAAATCTAATATACCCAATTCGAAATGTCATTCAGAAATGCCTCCACTACGTAAAATCAAAGTATGGGATCTAGGGTTTGAAAAAAGGAACTTTGCTCTGCCTGCTCACCCCTCAGCCTTACACTTTGCACAAGTCTCGATAAAGAGATGGAGCAGAAGGAAAAGTAATGCCTCATGGAACTGAAATTTATCTGTTTCTTCAACAAATATTTATAAAAGTTTTATTACCTTTGTGCCTGTATTATAGAAACACAATACAGCTCTGTCCCTATATTCAGAGGGCTTAAAGTCTCTGTGAGTTCCCGGTAAGGTAAACCCATAAGCAGCCAAAGAAGGAGGTTCCAATACAATTTCTTATGAAAATTACTGAGTGAAAGACTGTCCTCGCTCTCCCTCTAGAACAAGAATTAAAAAGAGCAAATAAATACAATGAATGAACCCGAACTCCTTTGGGGACCCCACCCCTCAGGGACTAACACAGGTTTTGTGAGCCTAAAGTTTATTGAACCTGAAGGACTAATTTTTTTTTGGGGGGGGGGTGAGATTATTTTTTAATAAGGTTAAAAAATGACTTTATTTAGAATAAGAAATAATTTACAAATAACTGTAGGCTTGGGAATCTGTCCCTTTCTCTTTTAAATCTTTTCAGGCCAGTTATCCAAAATGCTGCTGTTGGCAACTTGCTTGCTCCCCCCCCCCCCGCCCCCAGGACAAATCCAGCCCTCATAGCGGCTCTTAAGCTTCCTTAGCTTTACCATAAAAACAAAACAAAACAAACAAACAAACAAACAAAAAACATTTCAATAGTGCTCCTTTCTGGACAAAGTTCTTTCTTTTTAAACTTTGTAACTTTACCAAAGCAGTAAATACATAGTTCATAAGGAATCTTCTTTTCCTAATAGGTGTGTAGTGTAGTGGTATATCAATATTGTTTTTATTCTATTGTTGATGCTATTATAGATGTCTTTCATTTCCCCCTTTACCCTCCTCCACCCAGCCCCCACCTCTGGCCATCACCACACTTTTGTCTATGTCCATCCCCCTCCCTTCTGACCTCTGTCAGTCCCTCCCAGCCTATATAATAAAAGGCTAATATGCAAATTGACCAAATAACCAGTTGCTATGATGCACACTGATCACAAGGGGACAGACACTCAATGCAGGAGCTGCCCCCTGGTGGTCAGTGCACTCCCACAGGGGAAGTGCTGTTCAGCCAGAAGCCCTGAGCTGGGCTCACAGCTGGCGAGCACAGCAGGGTAGCACACCTACCTCTGTAGCAGTGCCAAGGATGTCTGACTGCTGGCTTAGGCCCACTCCCCTGCAGGAAAAGGGCCTAAGCCAGCACTCAGACATCCCTCGAGGTCTCCCAGACTGTGAGAGGACACAGGCCATGCTGAGGGACCCCCACAAGTGCACAAATTTTGTGCATCTGGCCTCTAGTCTACATGATAAAAGAGTAAAATGCTAATTGACCATACCTTTGCAATGCCCACTAGCCAATCAGGAGTGGGTATGCAAATCAACCCAACAAATATGGTGGGTTAATTTGCATATGCAGGTGCTGAGCAGCTGGGGACAGGGTGGGATGTTTGTGTCATTGCCATGGCGATGACACAGGCGTTCCACACCACCCCAGCTGCTCCGGGCCTCTGGGCAGCATGGGAAGACAGAAAGGCAGCTCCGGGCTGGAACGGAAAGGCTGCTCCAGCCAGAGTGAAGGCAGTGCTGGCAGCCAGGGGAACGAAGGCTCATTCTAGCAGGAATCTTCTTTTGTGCATCGGACCACTAAATCTATATACAAATGTACATGTACAATACATAGGAGACATGATAGTCCGCAGCCACACCATAAAAGTGGACACATCTGCTGGTGCTGGTGATGCTCAGAAAGCTGTGGGAGTGTGCTGAGTGTCCACAGTCTGGAGAATCCCCTCTCCCTCGTCCAGTCCAAGAGGCCAGAGACCCAGCCCCAGCAACAACCCAGGGGCCGAGCACCATCCACTTTAGATCAGCCCAATCCAGGCTGTGCGTCCTGCCCAGCAGTCTGTCTGCTCACCAGGGCAGGGGTGCGGGGTGCGTGCGGGCTAGGTCACCGGTGCCTGTCTGGGAGCTCCGCCCAGCGGCCTCTGCCTTTACCGAGTCGTCCCAGTGAGAAAGCCCTGGAGATGACCCTGAAGCGGCTCCACAGGAGCCCGGGGGCGTTTTCACAGGCATGTGGTAGCGCATGCGAGTCCAGAACCTGGAATTGGGAGGCGCCGACTTTAAGCCTCTCCACGTGACTGTGGGCAAGACCCGGAGAGCCTTCCTCACCAGGTCAGGTAGGGATTCTGGCTCTTTGAAGGGACAGAACTTCACTAGAATGAGCTTCAGCGTCTGATCATCCAACGCAAGACTCACTGCTGCTTGCAGTTCAAAGACACTGGGTCCGTTGACATAGTTGGGGCTTAAGATGAAGATTCCTCTTCTACTTTTCTTGATAATGCTCACGATGTCTTCTGTGTACACTGGAAAGAAAGAATTTAACTAATTGCACCTGTGTTGCTAAATCTTGAGTCACAATAACCCTGGTTCCCCCAGACCTACACAGGGGTTCCCCTCCAGGCGGAGCGCGACTGCTCCCCTAATTGCACAGGCTACCCCACCCTGTTCGTAGTGGGGATACACTCTACTGTCCAGTGACTCCTCTGCAGTTCTCCCGGAGCTGTCTCCTCAAAGGCCCCTCCTGCAGGAGCACAGCTGGGCGGGACAGGGGCGGGGTCAGGCCTCTGGGTAGGTCTGAGTAGAGAAGGAGGGGCCTGGCCCAGACTCCAGCAGCCCACAGACCATGCTGCATCTGTGGCCGGCAGTGTCCCCACGCAGGGCCACCCACTGGGAAGGACAATGAGGAGCCAAGGAAGCTCTGTCCCATGGGATGGAGGCTCACATGATGGACACTTGTCTGCCCAGGTGTCTTCTGCTGGCCATTCAGCCCTAAGCTCACAGCCCTCCAGGAGGGGCCAGCCCCGGGTGTGTGTGGGGGATGGAGAGCGGGCATTGAACCGCCCTTGGAGCTGTCACTTCTCTTGGGGGTAGGCCTACCTCCTCCCGGGGCCATGTCTCTTTCAAGCAAACACAAGGTGTAGCCATATTTGTTTTCCAGAACTTCAGGGAACAGCTTCAGGGCCAGGCGGTCCTCACTCACAGGGAAGACGGGCTCGCTCTCGGAGGCACTCCCCTTCGCGTAGGAGATGAAAGCATCAAACTCCTTTTTATCTGGAGAAAGGGTGATAGAAGTGTAAGCCACGCACACCTGCATGTGCTCAATCGTGGCACATGGTACAGAGCAGAACTGGGGGTCGGTACTAAATTTATTAAAGAAATAAAAACCAGCAGCTGAGTCCTTTTCAAAACCCTGCTGGGAGCCGTGCTCATTGCCCAGGATTGGAGCGGGTCCACGTTCTGAAGCCCTGGGCCTCCGCAGCTGGGGTGGCCATGTGAGAGGGGTCTGCGGGAACGTGCCGTCCTGGGGCCACGCCTGCCAACACCACTAACCCTGCACTGGGGACGGCGGACCACGCGGCTCCTGGCAGGGTTACAGGAGGTAGCTGACACGCAAAGCCTGTGTCTGGCCCTCAGCAGCGCGAATCAGTGTCCTCCCTCCTTCTCCATGGTGATAGATCCTCTCTTCCCCCACCTGATGGACGGAGAGTGACGTAACCTGCACCTGCGGCCTGGACATTTCTGAGCACCTAACCAGGCACCTTACATGGACTGTACATTGAACCACCAATCAGCACCTGCCAGATACCCTGAGCCTCCGATTTCTAAGTCCCTAAGTGCCTAATCATGTGTCTTATGTGAAACCACCAATCAGCGTGTGCCGAGTACCCTAAGCCCCGTCCCTTCCCATTCCTCCCCTCAAAAGGCGAGTTCCCCTCTGCACGTGTGGCTATTCCCTTTGCAGGGAAACCCAGCAGGTCCTTCTCCTCTAATAAAGCTTGGAGTCCTGGTGTTCGGCCTCTGTCTCATCTTTCATTTGATGCTAAAACCTGGGAGAGGTGCACAGGAGCATGACGATCCTCGAACCTAGCCCCGAGCTTCTGACTCCTGCTCTGGCACTGCTCGGTGGCATGGTTCTAAGTTGATTGGCCCACTCTGGACACCTCTCGAACCCTGCCGTACCAGAACACGTGGGGATCTCGTCATTTCCTCACTGGTAGGCTTCAGGGACTTTCCTGACCACCCCCACCCTTGACCTGGAAGGCCTCAGAGTGTCCCATCCAATTGGCTACATGTTCTACATTCTATGGAAGCCCAGGTGCCTATCCAGGAAACTCTGCTCTACTCCATGGGAAAGGTCTCAGGGTGATGACCTTGGAATCTTCTCTCCTCTCTCTCTCTCTCTCTCTCTCTCTCTCTCTCTCTCTCTCTCTCTCTCTCTCTCTTTCTCTCTCTCCAGGTTGGCTGAGGGAAAAGGAGGATGCTCCTTCTTTCCTCCCCAAATTCCTAGTGGCCCTTCCCTCCGATCATGGGGACCTCTCAGTTCAAACCGCCTCTACACACCCTTAGGGTGTCTCCTTGCCAATCTCTACCCTTGGTCTTTCTGGCTACATCAAACCAAAGAAGCTCTACCTGGCCATGATACAAACTTGACAATGTCTCTCCGTGGCCTGAAAACGGCACTTCTGATTCCAATAGCCTTCAAGATCTAGATAATTTTTGCCACTGGATAGGGAGGCCTCAGAGATCCCTGCGAACAGGCTTCCCCTCTTCACCTCCCCTCCTGCTCTCCCCCTTTACTCTTCATGTTCCCCCATCAGATCCTCCTCCCAAAGTCCTCTTTTCCCTCCCACACCTGTCCTCAGCCCCTTTCTCTGTCTCTGACTGCTCATTCGACCCAGCGATCGTTCTGCTCCATGTGTCTCGCTCCCGCTGCCCCCTTACAACCCTACGGCAGAATCCGCACCCCACGCTCTACCGCTGACAATTCTAACTGCCGCCTTCCCCTGTGCTCTCTGCCTCATCTTTGTCCCCATGACCACTGGCAACCAAATTCACAGGTGGCTGGCCATTCCCTTCTCACTGTCTGATCTTCCTGAGAGCCCAAATCCTGAGAACGTGAGCTTTAAAACAGCCTTTCCCATCTAACACTCACTCTCCGGCCCAAAGAAGGCCTTCCTCCACGGCCTCTCCTATTCCCCCATCCACTCTACCGCTGAGGGAGGCACTGGAGCTGAGAGCGTAGTCTGAGTCCACATCCCAGTCTCTATGTCCAGCCTCACAGATGGAGAGGCATCTCAGGTTTCGTTTTCCACTAACCTGACCACCTTTACTCCCCGACATATGTCGCAAACTTCAAAAAATAGATGCAGGTCCACAACCCCCTCAAAAAGACCTCATTAACCTGACCTTTAAGATCTTTAATAATAGAGACAAGAAGACTCAAATTCAAAATCAAAGGTGAGATCAGGCCGAGGCCAAGGCCCAGTAGGAGGCTTTCCAGCTCCTAGCCACCACTTTTAAACCCCAAACTAAGTGCCAGTACTCCAACCGCAGATAAGTCAGGGGCTAAGCCTCGTTTGGGTCCTCCTTCAAATGCAGCAAGGAAGGACAATGAGCCAAGTTCTGCTTAAACCCGAGACCCCCCCCCCCCCCCGCCTTGGCACTGTTCATGGTGCGGAAGGGAAGGCCACTGGAAATAGACTGTAGTCTAGCTTCTCCAGGTCTGGCCTCTGCCAGTCCAGCATGGCCGCCCTCTGGATGCAGTTTGGAGCTCCCAGATCTCCTGGGACTGGCCATGGAAGAAGCTGTCCAGACCCTGACAGGGCCCCACAGACTCACTTCACCAGGACAGAGCCTCGGGGAACGACTGTGGTGGCAGGTAAGCCGATCTCCTTTTTAATGGACACTGGGGCCACTTATTCTATCCTCTGGAACCCTTGTTCTCTCCTCAGTCTCTATTATGGGGGTTAAAGGGTTAATCTCACAGCCATTAGCCACCTCATGTCTACACTGCATCTTACTAAATTCCCCCATTCATTATTTTCTCATTCTATCTCCGTGCCTGATCAGGGCTACCATGCATCCCTCATAAAACCCAGTTGTCCCAAACCACAGTCATCTACCTCAGTTTCACTCTCTCAACCCACAAAGCTGAGCCATTCCTGGGACTATAAATGCCTTATCTCCCTATCTCGTCTATGATCATCATCTCTAGGAAAAATGCAGTGATTTGGGATTCAAGTGGTTAAGGCCTGGGGACAAGCCTCCTGCCTCTGCTTTTTCCCCAGCCTCATTTTCCACGGCTACTTTCCTTCCCGTTCTCTTTTCCCTTGGAGAATAGCCCATTCTAATATTCCCTCTCACTTTCACTGCAATAAATCTTAATCACTCATCTGTCACCCTTATTGGTAGCACCATGACAACTACCATCTCAGCTTGGAGTGCGGAACTGGGAAAAGGAATCTCATACCCTTTAGCCCACCTCTTCTCCTTACACTTTCAGCTTATCTCCATGATCAGGGTTTTTTTCCCTCTGTGGGGAAAACACATACATTTGCCTTCCGACCAACTGAGCAGGAACCTGTACTCTTATCTATTTCTCACCCAATGTTGATGCAGCCCCATAATCAGCCTTTACCTGTCCCCGTAACCATCATATCTGACACAAAAGAGGAGTCCAGATCATCCCTCTCCTCCTAACCCTCAGCATCACAGCAGAAGTTGGAACTTCCATAGGGAGGTTAACCACTGCTCTACCTATTATATTTTGAAATCCTTTCTCAGGATCTATAAGAAACATGTGGATGCCCAGCAAGGGGCAAAACTGGGAAAACAAGAACCTTTCCCCCAGGGTAACCTATTCTCCCCTTTCATATCACTAGTGAGGCCACTGAGACCCCTACTCGATTCCCCCTAAAAATGACAGCTAGGTCTCAGTTGCATTTCAGCTCCTGCCCAGAAAAGCAGCAAACCAGACAAGTGACCCCTTGGCAGCCTCAGGACCAGCTTTTACTCCCAAGTGACTCAACAGGATCGCTCTTGAGACTTCACCAACCAGTCTCTTGGGGAAATCATGCTGCTGCACCCCTTATCCAGCACGGAAAAACTACCTTTTTTTTTTTGCCCACTTACCCCACGTCTCCTCCCACTATTAGGCCCACTGGTATTTATTCTTTTAATTTGCTCTTTGGCCCTTTTCTCATGTGCTGTTTCACTAGTTTCTTGCAGAACAGAATGCAGGCGTTCGCCAACCAGAAGGTGGGAGAGATCGATCTGGCCCTGAATTCAGATCCTAGCACCAGAATCCTTGAGATCCCCAGGTAGACACTCCTAAGATGCTTCCTCTCAGCAGGAAGTAGCTATGGAAGACGGACCTTCACCCTCTCACCTTGCCCAGACTGTCAATTTTTAAAAATATTACCAAAAGCCTGGAATGATAGATCCTCCCTTCCCCCTGACTGATGAGTATGACGCAAACTGCACCTGCAGCCTGGACATTCCTGAGCACCTAATCAGGCATCTTATATCGGCTATACATTGAACCACCATCCAGGCCAGGTGCTGCTCCCGGCAGCCACGCCCCGGGGCAGAGGATGCTCAGGGGCGGCGGCTGGTGGGTGCTGCGCTGTTTCATGTGGAATGTGCCACGGTGGACCCGATTCCTTCCAAGCCCAGCAAACCAGGACTTTTCTATAATCAGAAATCATGATGTAGCTTTGGTAATAAAATTAGAGTGTGGAAGTGTTAGACAACCTGTTAGGTCCTTTAAAATTCTGACACTCTAAACTTCCGTGTATTATCACCAACATCAAAGGAAACATCTCCCTATAAAACACTGGGTTGGTCAGAGGGGGCACTGACTGGCTGTGCCCAGGCCCGTCGGCCCACACCAGGTTGCTGACTTGTCCGTGGAAGTGAGAGGAGCCGGGCACAGCGAAGGTTCCCTCAGGCCGACTCTCAGGTACAAGCTGCAGAGCCTCAGGACAAGCAGCATGTTAGCAGAAGCATGAGGTTGTCCAGGGAAACAGGCATTGATCAGATATTGGCTTGCCTCAAAAAGGCTAACTTTTGTTCTGGATAAATCTCAGCAGCCCTCTTGCTAAGGGCTTCTCGTACGTGTCTCAGTGATGGTCTCAGGGAAGGTGACGGGAGATTTTCACTCCCGGCTCCCGGAGACCTGACGGCCTTCATGAGTGGTTGGTGTGGGGAAGCGCTGTGGGGGTCCTCCAGGTGAGGGCTGGCCGGGGTGTGGGGGCCTCCAGGTGAGGGCTGGCCGGGGTGTGGGGGCCTCCAGGTGAGGGCTGGCCGGGGTGTGGGGGCCTCCAGGTGAGGGCTGGCCGGGGTGTGGGGGTCCTCCAGGTGAGGGCTGGCCGGGGTGTGGGGGCCTCCAGGTGAGGGCTGGCCGGGGTGTGGGGGCCTCCAGGTGAGGGCTGGCCGGGGTGTGGGGGTTCTGCCAGGTGAGGGCTGGCCGGGGTGTGGGGTTCTGCCAGGTGAGGGCTGGCCTGGCAGCCAGCAGAGGAGAGGCATTTGCTAAAAGTAGAGTCGAACCCTGGGCCCAGGACCAGAGGACATGGAAGCTGCGTGTCTGTGTGGGTGTGGACGGCACTTTGCCCACAGCAGGGACTCGCAGCTCCCAGAACATCACACTTTTGGGGACAAGCCCCTCGGGTACAGGCAGGCTGACCGAGGTCCATGAAGGGCTAGCCCACACTCTGCCCTTGCCCAGCAGTTCAGTTTGGGGTGAGACTGTCTGGCTGAAGGGCTGTGACAGCAGGGAGGCTGCTAGTTCACCCGCCATCTAAGTCCCTCTGCAGGAGGAAGATGCGCGCCCCCTCCCCACTTCCCCTCCTCACCCCCCCACACCACCTTCACTGTCAGCAGAGAGACCATTTCAGGCCTCCTGCAGCCCTGCGGCTGGAGGAGTCCTTCCCGACAGCAGGTGGCTCCGGGCGCAGGTGCCAGCAGGCCGGGCGCAGGCTGGGCGGCAGGGGACACCCATTCCTGGGCCCCTGCGCTGAGCCAGTTGTGGGGGGTCAGCCACACAGCGGCCCTTACCCCCGAGCGTCTCGTCCTGGTCCTGGCAGGTCCGGCACAGCAGCAGCACCTCAATCCAGTAGGCGAAGAGCAGCGCGCCCGCGGCCAGCGCGCCGGCCAGGGCGGCCACGGTGCCCAGGAGCACGTTCAGGAGCACCGCTGGGGGGACACCGGAAATCACTACAACGACAGGAGCTGGGAATCCACGCAGTTAACCGGCGGCTCTGTCTGCGCCGAGGGGCGCGGGGCTGGGAGCCGCAGGCCCGGCCCGGAGCTCACATGGAGGGCAGCCCACCCTCTTCCAAGGACCGTGTCCTTACGGGAAGGTTTACGGCCTCGGCCCCTGGTCCCGGAGGCGCCTGGTGCCGGGCGCCTGCTCTTTGCTCCCCGAGCCCTGTTACCTGTAACCTGGCAACCCCAGCCCGGTGGCTCGTAACCTGTAGGCTTATCCCAGGCCCACTTCCTGGTGCCCCTACTTCCTCTCCCCACATAACTGGTCCTTCTCCAGTGCACACAGGGGCAGAGCGGGCCTGTGGGACCCGCCGCTCTCTGTGCTGCTGGCAGGACCGGAACAAACACTCATCTGGGGCCCACCGTCCCTCTGCACCGGCTCAGGTGTGACCGCCGCCTCCACGGTTGTCCGGTCACAGCCATGCAGCCCCGCGAGCACCGGCGCTGCGCGCCCACCACGGCTACGCCCCCTGCTGTCCCACGGCATCGCGCCGCAGTGCTCCTCTCGCAGGCTGAGTGGCGCAGCCGGCAGCCACGGCCTGGGGGATACCCCACTCTGAGGGGGCGAACCTGGGGGGCGGTGCCGGGCAGGCGCCTGGGAAGCGGGTCGGAGCCACTGTTATTATACTTATTTTCTCCGGGACTGCCCGTGCTCTGCACCCTCACTGCTAACTAGATCCAGGTACAGCCGTCCCCACTGATCCACGCTCCCCGCGGCCAGGGTGCGTCTGGCACGCCCTCCACCACCTAAGGCAGGAGACACGCCTTACCGAGCGCCCACGGGACCAGGCCAGAGGCGGTCTCATCTAAACCCGGGAGCACCCAGTCTGTGCTCTAGGATCTTTATGAACAGTGAGTGAGCGGATGACATCCTTTCATCTCTGAGCGTCATCTCAAAGGAATGACAAGCCGTGTCCCGGAGGCCCATCAGCTCTGACGCGTTAGGTCTGACATACACATCCTTGGCACCAGCTCTCACGCTCACCTCCAGACCCCAGTGCCTGACCTCACGTCCTCTGGGCTCAGAAGCGGAGAGGAAAATGAGGGAGGGGCCCAGGTTCTAGCACAGGCCTTTCCTGGAGCCTGCCACGGTGTTTGTGGAATGGCGGGAGAGTGAGATGTCTTGGCCGTGGGTGAGGAGGCCGTGTCTGGGTCACATGTGAGCTGCCTGGCCGTGGTCTTGGGCAGGTTTGAGCTCAGCAGCCAAGTGTGCAGAAGGCGGTCTGACGCTGCCTAGTTCCTCTCACCACACACTGCTGCCTGAAAAGCTCTGGCCTGTCCGGGGAGCCCTGTGCCCGCCTGGGGAGCCCTGTGCCCGCCCCGGGGGGCCCTGTGCCCGCCCCGGGGAGCCCTGTGCCCGCCCCGGGGGCCCTGTGCCCGCCTGTGGAGCCCTGTGCCTGCCCGGGGGGCCCTGTGCCTGCCCATGGAGCTCTGTGCCTGCCCGGGGGGCCCTGTGCTTGCCCAGGGGGCCCTGTGCCTGCCTGGGGAGAGCCCTGTGCCCGCCCAGGGGAGCCCTGTGCCCGCCCGGGGGGCCCTGTGCCCGCCCGGGGGGCCCTGTGGTCGCCCAGGGGAGCCCTGTGCCCGCCCGGGGGGCCCTGTGCCCGCCCGGGGGGCCCTGTGGTCGCCCGGGGAGCCCTGTGGTCGCCCGGGGGGCCCTGTGCCCGCCCGGGGGGCCCTGTGCCCGCCCGGGGGGCCCTGTGGTCGCCCGGGGAGCCCTGTGCCCACCCGGGGGGCCCTGTGCTCGCCCGGGGAGCCCTGTGCCCGCCCGGGGAGCCCTGTGCCCGCCCGTGGGGCCCTGTGCCCGCGTACCTCCCTGCTTCCCCTGCAGCCGGAGGGGCTTCGAGGCGTTCCCCAGTGAGTTCTGGGCGAAGCAGACGAACGTCCTGTGCAGGTCGCTCTGGGCAACGCTATCCAAGCGGAGAGGGAGCCGGATCACTTCCACCTCCACGCTGGCTCTCAGGCTGGGAAAGGAGAGACCTCACAGCGCCGAGGCACAAGCCGCCAGGGCACCGCCGCCAGGGCACACAGTGGGCACACCGCCGCCAGGGCACACAGCCGCCAGGGCACACAGTGGGCACACAGTGGGCACACCGCCGCCAGGGCACACAGCCGCCAGGGCACACAGTGGGCACACAGCCGCCAGGGCACACAGCCGCCAGGGCACACAGTGGGCACACAGTGGGCACACAGCTGCCAGGGCATGCAGCCGCCAGGGCACAGCCGCCAGGGCACACAGTGGGCACACCGCCGCCGAGGCACAAGCCGCCAGGGCACCGCTGCCAGGGCACACAGTGGGCACACCGCCGCCAGGGCACCGCCGCCAGGGCACACAGTGGGCACACCGCCGCCAGGGCACACAGCCGCCAGGGCACACAGTGGGCACACAATGGGCACACAGCTGCCAGGGCATGCAGCCGCCAGGGCACAGCCGCCAGGGCACACAGTGGGCACACCACTGCCAGGGCACACAGCCGCCAGGGCACACAGTGGGCACACAGCCGCTAGAGCACACAGTGGGTACACAATGGGCACACAGCCGCCAGGGCACACAGTGGGCACACAGCTGCCAGGGCACACAGCCGCCAGGGCACACAGTGGGCACACAGCCGCTAGAGCACACAGTGGGTACACAATGGGCACACAGCCACCAGGGCACACAGTGGGCACACAGCTGCCAGGGCACACAGTGGGCACACAGCCACCAGGGCACACAGTGGGCACACAGCCGCTAGAGCACACAGTGGGTACACAATGGGCACACAGCCACCAGGGCACACAGTGGGCACACAGCTGCCAGGGCACACAGTGGGCACACAGCCACCAGGGCACACAGTGGGCACACAGCCGCTAGAGCACACAGTGGGTACACAATGGGCACACAGCCACCAGGGCACACAGTGGGCACACAGCTGCCAGGGCACACAGTGGGCACACAGCCACCAGGGCACACAGTGGGCACACAGCCGCTAGAGCACACAGTGGGTACACAATGGGCACACAGCCACCAGGGCACACAGTGGGCACACAGCCGCTAGAGCACACAGTGGGCACACAATGGGTTCACAGCCGCCAGGGCACACAGTGGGCACACAGCCGCTAGAGCACACAGTGGGTACACAATGGGCACACAGCCACCAGGGCACACAGTGGGCACACAGCCGCCGGGGCAGTCCTGGGACCTGTGAGGCCGGCCTCACTCTGCAGCGTTGGGGGCAGCCAGCGGAGGCGCCCAGCTCAGTGCGGGCGGGCAGGAGGGCCCGGGTTTACAGGACTGAGTCTGCGAAACAGGGCTCGAGGCTTGCACCGGGGCCGCGCTGGCCTTGCTCACTCTGAGACTTCCCTGAGCACACACACCAACGAGGCTTTACCAGCATCTGTGATGTCCGTGAGGGCTTATGGGTGTCATGGCGTCTCAGCACAAAAGGGGTCTGTGGCCCCTCACGCTGCCCCTCACGGGAAGCCCCCAGGTGCGGCCTGTGGCCTCTAACATGGCCAGCAGTGCAGACTGGGCGCGGGTGGGAGCCGGAGGGCACGCTGCCAGCCGTGGACCGATGCCCGGCTGTGCCCGGGCCGCAGGACCAGCAGGAGCCGGGCCTCCCTCTGCCCCCCCTGAGGAATCTGGCTGGCACGCTGACAGTGCCAGTGGGGTTGCTTGGAGACCCCAACACCGGCACTTCCCCACGGGGTGCCTCTTGCCGCCGGAGACGTGCTGAGCGTTGTGCCTGCCCTGTGCGCCCCTCCCGGGGGGCTGACAGGGGGGCAGGCGGCAAGTGGAGCTCACAGGCTCACGTGGCCGATGGGTGGGAAACAGCCGCAGAGGATGAGATCAGAGCACCCCCCACTGGTGGGGCCACGGGCTGCCTCCTGGTCCGCTGGTGCCTACAGCGGCCGCACAAGCTGCTGCTGCACACGGCCGTCAGCACCGCAGGGGCTCCCCCACGGCCTGGGGCCCCATCCGGCGCAGGGCTCAGGCAACATGACTGCCTCGTCTCACGTCAGCTGGCGCCCCTGGCGTGTGTGTGTGTGTGTGTGTGTGTGCGTGGTGTGTGTGTGGTGTGTGTGTGTTGTGTGTGTTTGTGTGTGTGCTGTGTGTATGTGTGTGTGGTGTGTGTGTATGTGTGTGTTGTGTGTGTTGTGTGTTGTGTGTGTGTTGTGTGTGTGTGGTAATGGTGTGTGTGTGCGGCCTATGGTGTGTGTATGTGTGTGTGTGGTGTGTGTGTGTGGTGTGTGTGTGGTGTGTGTATTTGTGTGTGTGGTGTGTGTATGTGTGTGTGGTGTGTGGTATGTATGTATGTGTGGTGTGTGTGTGTGTGTGTGGTGTGTGGTGTGTGTATTTGTGTGTGTGGTGTGTGTATGTGTGTGTGGTGTGTGGTATGTATGTATGTGTGGTGTGTGTGTGTGTGTGGTAATGGTGTGTGTGTGTTGTGTGTTGTGTGTGTTTGTGTGTGTGGTGTGTGTGTGTGTGTGTGGTAATGGTATGTGTGTGGTGTGTGGTGTGTTTGTATGGTGTGTGGTATGTATGTGTGGGTTGTGTGTGTGTGGTGTATGGGGTGTGTGTGTGTGTGTGTGGTGTGTGTGGTGTGGGGTGTGTGTGGTGTGTGGTATGTATGCGTGGTGTGTGTATGTGTGTGGTGTGTATGTGTGTGGTGTGTGTGTGGTGTGTGTGGTGTGGGGTGTGTGTGGTGTGTGGTATGTATGTGTGGTGTGTGTGGTGTGTGGTGTGTGGTGTGTGGGGTGTGGGGTGTGGGTGTGGTGTGTGGTGTGTGTGGTGTGTGTGTGGGGTGTGTGTGTGTGGTGTGTGTGGTGTGTGTGTGGGGTGTGTGTGTGTGGTGTGTGGTGTGTGTGGTGTGTGTGTGTGTGTGTGGTGTGTGGTGTGTGTGGTGTGTGTGGTGTGTGGTGTGTGTGGTGTGCGTGGTGTGTGGTATGTATGTGTGTGTGTATGTGTGTGGTGTGTGGGGTGTGGGGTGTGTGTGTGTGTGGTGTGTGTGGTGTGTGTGGTGTGTGGGGTGTGGGGTGTGTGTGTGTGTGGTGTGTGTGGTGTGTGTGGTGTGTGGGGTGTGGGGTGTGTGTGTGTGTGGTGTGTGTGTGGTGTGAGTGTGTGGTGTGTGTGTGTGTGTGGTGTGTGTGTGTGTGTGTGGTGTGTGTATGTGTGTGTGCACATCGCAGAGGTTTCTGAAGGTGGGAGCACACATGTGGCTGGAAGAATGTTGTCTGATCTCCTTACCGCCGGCCTCCCTGTGCTGGGATTTCCAGCTCCTGGCCGGCGTCTTTGCTGTACCATCTCAGCACCGGGGCGAAGTGCTCTTCAAAGCCGAAGCGTGCTGTGCAGTTCAGAGTGAGAGGCTTTCCTGCCAACGAGGGGCCACAGAGACAGGAAGGGGCCGTGAGGACACGCTGCCAGCACCAGGCCTCCCTGCCCCGGGCCGGGCGGAGCTGGCGGGCAGGCCCTCGGGGCAGAAAGGAGCAGCCAGCAGAGCTGGGAGCGCGGACATGGGCTATGGTTTGGGCTATTTGTGCTATTTTTGTGAAAGAATGTTTCTATCAATTAAAAGATTTTGAATTATAAACGTGTAATAAAAAAGTATCAGCTATTTTTCAAAAGGGCATTATTAGAACCAAATTTCTTCCTTATTTATTAAAATTTTGTTTATTTTTATTTCTTTTTTATTGTTGACCCTGTGCCCATTTCTCCTTGCCCCGCCTTCGCCGGCTCCCAGCCCCCGGCCCCCGGCCCCGGGCTCCCAGCACCCCCCCACCTTCCCCGCCGCTGTCCGTGTGGACAGCCATGGTAGGTGCTGCCTGGCTGCTCTGCTCATGCTTCCCTCCAGCACCCCCCCCACCCCCGTCAGTCCGTCCCATGTTGTTCACCAGGTAATGTTGCTCATTGGATTCCACACACGAGTGGGTCATAAGGTGTGCCTTTCCCTGACTGGCTTATTCACTCAGCACAATGCTCCCCGGTCCCTCCATGGAAAAACAGCTCTCTGCGTTTAGGACAGAGCTTGGCTCGCTCAGAGTGCAGGCCCCGCGTGGTCTGAGGGACAGCAAGGTGAGTGCTGCACGGCTGGCCTCCACGGCTGCTGAGGCCAAAGCTGATGTCCCCACGCTCAGCACACGTCACACCCTGACTGGCATGGAGTTCAGAGAAGACGCCATCAGGCATGGAGCTGCCGTGGACCATGCACGACGGGTGGGCGTGGATTTGCACACGAGCCTGTCGCCCCGTTTCCTCCCGAGAGCTGCCTCCTCGGCCTCAGTGCCCTAACAGAGAGGCGGGCAGAGATTCCACCGGAAAACTCATCTCGGTGCCCTACTGATGCTTCTCCCTCCCAGCACTTCAGATTCCCTGGCTCCACGGGCAACTGCTATTCTCTAATTAAATAACGTGCGTTCTTTCTTTTGTCCTTCCATTCTTGTGTTGTTGACCATATTGCTATCTTATAGTCCAGATACACTGCTACCGCCACCTAGCGGCCTCTCCCCATAACACAGCCCCGTCCTCACTTCCGTTAGGAACAGCTCACATGTGACACACACTGATCTGTGGAGCAGCCAGTCCTGTGTCCACAGTGCGGCAGGGGCTGTTGGCCAGGGGTCTGGAGCAGCAGCCGGGAGAGGCCCGCAGAGGGCCATGGCCGCGCCGGGAGGCTGGTCTGGGCAGCCGGTGAGCGGCAGGTGCCTCCTCCTCAGGCACCTCAGGGGCCAGCGGCCACCGCGCTGTTACAGGTCAGAGGCCAGCGGCCACCGCGCTGTTACAGGTGAATGTGCCCAGCAGACATGGCTTGGTAAAAGCTGCTGCTGTGTGAATGTGTTGGTAAATGGTACCATTATAGAGTCACCACGCCCATGGCCTCCTGAGTAAGAAAGAGCGATCCCTATGGATCTTGTCAAAGGCCCGCCACCTGCCAGCCGCCAGCCTCAGTGGGGCCGCGGGCCAGCGTGGTTTGCCGATTTCCACACCTGCCGGCTGGAGTGAGGGTGAGTGACTGAGGAGGCGCACCGTCGGCGGTGAGCCCCATCCACAGCCGTTCTCCCCGACTGGAACCCAGTACCGCATCCCCCTGACGTGCTCCGAGTCCCAGTGTCCACCAGGGTGACATGCAGCCCCACTCACCCAGCTCCACCTCCAGGGTCTCCTGCACCGGCTCCACGATGTCCGGCTTGAAGGTGGTGTTCTTCACTAACAGAAGAGGAGAGAGGAGGAGAGGAGGGGAGGGGAGGGGAGGGGAGGGGAGGGGAGGAGAGGAGAAGGGAGGAGGGAAGGGAAGGGAAGGGAAGGGAAGGGAAGGGAAGGGAAGGGAAGGGAAGGGAAGGGAAGGGAAGGGAAGAGGAAGAAGAGGCATCATTTTGCAGGGGAAGCTGCAACCACACTGAGGCCTGAACACGGTGGCGCTGCCTGTGCAGGTCGATTCCCATCCAGAGGCCAGGCCCTCTCTCCATGGGAAAGCCAGCTTCCAAAAGGACCAAGGCATCGTACTGAGGTGCTGGCCACACAGGAGCGGCCACAAACGCCGTCTGTGGGACACTTTCCCACAGGCCAAGGGGGTGGGCTCGGTCTGCACTGGGTGGGTAGGCTGTGTGTGTGTGTGTGTGTGTGCTGTGTGCTGTGTGCTGTGTGTGTGCTATGTGTGTGCTGTGTGTGCAGTGTGTGGTGTGTGTGTGTGCTATGTGTGCATGGTGTATGTGTGTGTGCTGTGTGTGTGCTGTGTGTGTGTTCTGTGTGTGTGCTGTGTGGGCTATGCGTTCTGTGTGTATGTGTGCTATATGTGTGCTGTGTGCTATGTATGCTGTGAGTGTGTGTGCTGTGTGTGTGCTATGCGTGCTCTGTGTGTATGGTGTATGCATGTGTGCTGTGTGTGTTTTCTGTGTGTGTGCTGTGTGTGTTATGCGTTCTGTGTGTATATGTGCTATATGCGTGCTTTGTGCTGTGCTGTGTGTGTGTGCTGTGTGTGCTGTGCTGTGTGTGTGTCCTGTGTGTGCAGTGTGTGCTGTGTGTGCGTGCTGTGTGTGCTGTGTGTGTGTGCTATGTGTGCTATGTGTGCTATGTGTGCAGTATGTGCTGTGTGTGCTATGTGTGCTCTGTGTGTATGGTGTATGTGTGTGTGCTATGCGTGCTGTGTGTGCTGTGCTGTGTGTGCAGTGTGTGAATGGAAAACCCAACTGGGGACAACGTGGAAGTGAGCCTTCCCCGAGAAGACTCGGGGTCAGTGGGAAATGATGCTGTGACATCCGGCTTTCCCCGGTGACCCTGCATGTCTGCCTTTTCTGTTTCCCACAGGCTCAGGAAGTGGCTTTCACTGTGTAGCTGGGATTCAAACATGAAATCTGAAACCAAGATGTCACTCACCGATGGTTTTCACGTGGACAACTGCTCTGACCGTCCAGTTGCTGCCCCCCTTAGCCTTGGGGTAGTCGCAGGCGTAGGTGCCCTGGTGGAAGTCGTAGATTGCGTCCAGCTGCAGCGGGTTGCTCCTCCGCTCAGAGAGCAGCGTCCCGTTCTAACCCGAGAGACAGGCGTCAGGGGAAGCTCTCCCCGGGAACTGCCTTTCGAGGCCCTCACACATCGCACCCGGAGGGAACAGCCGTGCGCCGGCACGGCACAGCTCTGTTCGGAAGCTGTCCTAGCAAGCTCTTCCTTGAAATAGCGGCGTCTGATCCGGCCGCGCTGTGGGAGATGGAGCCCTGTCCAGGCAGCCCGCTAGCATGCACTTCACTTATCATTCCCAAGCATGCCTCGGGCCCAGGAGAGTGTTCTACAGGACTCATCATATCCTAATTTAACCCCAAATGAACTTAAAAACAACACCTATGTGTTTATTATGTCTGAAAATTGGTGCAGATTATCTGTATATGGAGCTAAAATAAAGCTTCCTCCTTAAATGAATTTAACTTTAAAATTTAAAACATTAAGTACATTGATATGACAGTGAATGGCTGATGACTGGAAAACAGCTGTTTCCCTCATGGTGGCCAAAGCAGGCTGAGGACAGAAAGAGCTGGGAGCTTCCCACTTTCTTCAGTCTGTCCAGACCTCTCTGGCGCTTCAGATAAAGCCTCCCCGCTGCAGTGCCTGCCTTCCTCACCCTCCTCCCTGCAGTGCCTGCCTTCCTCACCCTCCTCACTGCAGTGCCTGCCTTCCTTACCCTCCCAGATGCAGTGACTGCCTTCCCTTCCCTGCAGCGGCCTCTGCTCCTGCCAGCCCCTCAGTGCCATGCTCCTTCTCACCCAGGCACACAGTCTGCCCGCCTTTCCCAGGTGGGTGCTGCTCAGCTTCAGTCCCAGGGAGAGGAGAGGGAGCCTTCCCGGGACAGGTTGGGCACCACTCCCAGCTCCGCACAGCGGGCTCACACGCCATTGCGTCCTCCCGTGTGTGCCCTCGTATGGACTGTGGTGTTGAGTGTGTAGGTACCTCCCTATCTGGGGTTGTCGAGAGCAGTGTTTTTGCTGAGACACATGCCAGGTCCTGACATCCCGGGCAGAATCCACCGGCCTTTCTCTCAGGGAGTGCTGTGCAAGGACACAGGCCCGCGTGCCAGCTGGAGGCAGCCGCACCCGGAGGCAGCCGCACCGGTGCCATGCCCCCGCTCACAGGAAGCTGGTGTGCCCCTCAGTCCACGCAGAGCGCTGAAGGACAAGCAGGAGCCAGTCAGCTGAAGGACAGCTGTCTAAGAACACTCCTATGTGCGCAGGGAGCGAAGCTGCTGAGGGCCGCTGCCTGGCTGTGTGTGAGCTCCAGGCTCCGGCCCAGCAGGCGGCGGGCGGCCCTCTGTGAGGGTGAGGGCATGCCTGCACGACTGAACGTGCATAAGAGTCATTATTAGACTTTGAAGCATAAGAGTCATTATATGCTTTGAAGCATAAGAGTCGTTATTAGACTTTTTAAAATGGCAACTCTGTGAGCGTGCCCACCAAGGTAAGCAGAGACTATCATAATCTCTTTTGTCCCAGGAGGCACGGGCAGGGTCGGAGCATGAGCATCTGTTGGTGATTCTCACGTGCTCGCGGCCTTCCGAGTCCCACCCAGGAGCCCGCTCACCACTGAGGCAAGGAGAAGGAGCGAGGACGAAGAGCACAGGGAGAGCCTGTCACCACGCAGCCCCAGTGCTTTCCCCTGCGTCAGCGCGCCTGACTGTCCGAAGGATCCTCTGGCGGTTTGTACGATCCTGTTTCCCATTTTACAGACAAGGAGCCTGAGCTCCCCGACTTCCTCGTTTGCTCTGGCACAGAGCTAGTCAGTGAGAGCGCTGGGAATTTATCTACATTTCTCTGATTTTGAGTTTCCAGTTCTGATGGAGGAATTCCCCTTCCATGCTGCCTGCTGACTTGTAGAGTCAGGGATTCCCCACCTCACGTCCGGTGTGCTTCCTGTGGCTCAGGGGGAATTTCCAGGAGGCTGGCAAACAGCCGGGCGGGTGTGGGGAGCAGAACTGGTTGGAGGGGAGCTGCCGTGTGAGGTAAACCAAGGCCAAGCAGTGGCGCAGACAGGCTGACCTCAAGGATCAAGAAGCCTTTTAGAGGAAGGTTCAGAGCATGGATAGAAGTCAGGGACAGAACTCTGCACAGCACATAACAACGTGAAAGAACAGAAACCAGAGTGGAGGTTGTTGTAAGTCTCGTGGGAAGGCAGAGCTAGGACGAAGACATTGGCTGAGCCAGGGGAGACCAGTGATAAACAGTGGACCTAATCCTCCTCCTATATAATAAAATCAACCTAACAAGAACAAGCACTGACCACCAGGAGGCAGACGCTCAACACAGGAGCTTCCCCCAGTCCGCAGGCACCTATGGCCCAATCAGGGCCTGCCAGCCAACCTCTCAGTCGCTTCTCCAGGCGGGCAGGCTCTGATTGCCTGATGGGGAACGGGGAACCAGGGTGGGTGACTGCGGCCATGGTGGCACCGGGCCAAGGCCCCTGCACTGCTGATCACTCCATACACAGAGGGCGACCAGTGTTGGGGGACAGGCTGGCAAGCCGGTGGGAACAGCCAACCTCGAGTACCTCCCCTCCCCCTCAGGCCCGTGGGCTCCAATTGCCCAATGGCAAGTGGGGAACAAGGGTGGGTGGCAGTGGGGGAGGGGGGCTGCTGGCAGCCAGGAAGACAGCCCTAGTCACTGGCCAAGCCTAGGGCCTATACCCATGCACCAATTTCGTGCTCCAGGTCTCTAGCTTTTTCCATAAAATTGTAAGTATGGCTCAGTATGTGCCTTTAAGACTTTATGAGGTAGAAATAAAAGACTATCAAAGACAAAAGATAAGAGATAAGCAATTTGTGTTAAGAATGATGGAGACCCCCTTGTAATAATACAATCACAAATGAGTCAGAGGGGAGACAGAGGGGATAGAGAAGGAGCAGAGTCAGTGTGAGCCTGGGTGAATGGTGTCAGGAAGTCCTGGAGAGAACCGAGGCATGAAAATAAAGCTGAGGACACTAAACACCCTTTATTTTATTGACTTATTTTAATCCTCCCCTGAGAATATTTTAAATTTGATTTTCGAGAAAGGAGAAGAGAGGGAGAGAGCCATCTATGTGGAAGAGCAGCACTGGTTGCCTGCCCCGGTACTTGCCCTGATCAGGGATCAAACCCAGAACCTCTTTGGTGTATGGGACCACACATCAGCCAACTGAGCTACCTGGCAGGGTGAGAGGACTTTCAAAGGAATGTGTGGAGCAAGAAGAACAAAGCGAAGAAAGTGTGGCCGACAGGAGACTTTTCTACTCGGGTGCACCTGTGTCTCAGGTCCTGTCTTCCCGGGTCACGATGCTCTGTTAATGACTGCGCATCCAGCTCCCTCTTCTCACTCCTGATTGAATGAGTGGCTACTTTCCCCAGTTTGGTAAATGCTGTGAGTTTACTTTGAGCCATAAAGTCCCCTAATGTGATAGTCACCCTCACATCCTCCACTTACATAATTTGATCTTCTGTTTTATCCTTGAAAATATCTGCAGGGTTCAGCATCTTCTCTCTACTCCCCCTGGGTCTGGGTCAGGACTTGCACTTGTAAAGGTCAAACACACCCACAGGGACCTAGGAACACCGCCACGTTCCCAGCCTGCCGCCTGGCGCACCGTCCACCCTGACCCACCAGGCACAGCCCTCCGCCCGCCGAGCCGAGCGCTACCCAGCCCGGAGCGTGCCTGCCGGCTCTCGTTCCCAGCGTCCATCCACCCCGCACACCCTCCGAGGGCCGCTGCCGTCACTTGTTGCAATCCACTGACAGCATTCCATTCACACACATTCTGCTCTAACACGTGTCTTTTAATGGGAGTACAGGCATGCTATGGAGAGCAATTCCGCCTGGATTCAGGCGCCCACGTTAGTGCCATCTGCTCTGCCAGGGCTGTGAGCCGTCCCAGCTGAGTGCTGCCGTTTGGCATGAGAGAAGGGAGCATTGGTGCTGTTTCCTGCCTAATAGCATCACTTTCAGTAATGCACTGCACCTAGGAGGTCTGTGAGCCCCAGGTGTGCATGTGTCTGTGTGCACTACACACACACACACACACACACACACACACACGTGATGCATAGACATAACCTGAACATGCCTCTCCAAAGCTGCATCGGAGGGTACAGTTTACCAGCAGCATTGTTTCCTGCGCTGAGAGCAGATGCCTTTTCCACTGACACATCCCGCCACGCGCAGTGAGAGCCCGGAGAAGTGAGGGAGCCTCTCAGGGAATGGCAGCCAGCCCAGGGCGCCTCACAGAGCAGTCCGTGCGGGACGCCGCAGCGCTCTGGCTGGTGCTCCCCAAAGTGAAAACGCACGTCTATCTGAAAGCGGCAGCCTCTCTCCGGGCTGGGAGCAGCCCTGGGGCAGAGCAAGGCCTCTGCCATCCGCCCACAATGCTCACAGCCAAGGAGTTTAGCTCTCAGGAGAGAGCCGAAAAGATGGACTCCTTACTGACCTCATCTTAGAGGCTGTGAAACCAATGCGCCTTCTCTTGGTGTATGGGACAGGACACTGCGAGTCTTTGAAGCCAGCAGGCTTTCAGTGTCACTTTAAAATGCAAATGGCAGCAGTTACCCTCCTGGGTCCAGTCGTATGTCTACAAAGGACACAGAGCACGCTGCCTGTTGTCCCAGGTCTCAGGAGAACCAAGTGGCAAACGCTCTCCCCAGCAGGCGCCCCCCCCCCCCCCCCCGCCTCCACTGTGGGGTCTGGGAGTGCAGGGACCACCCAGCAAGCAGGCTGCCGGCTGGGCATCGGCAGCAGCAAGCTAAAATGGTGTTTTATGAAAACAAACGGACATGTTTTGAAGTCAAATTTAAAGTTTTACATGATTTTTAAGGCAAAGTACTGGACTTTACATGATTATTGCTAAGTAGTGGCATTTGAATTCTATTCCCTGATTCCGCGTCCAGGGGCCGGTGGCAGGGCCGTGGAGGCGGTGCTGCGAGCGCTGGCACAGACTGGTGCTCGGTAACCATGAGCAGGGAGAATGCCCGAGGTTGGTAATGATCGTCACGGAACTGCCTCTCTCAGCACTGCCTGTTTCTCTGGGCCCCCAGAGCTGCCCCCAGGAAAGGGCTCTGCTACCGCCCCTCCCCCCCCAGCCCTTTTCCCTTGTTGGGAGCGCCCTCCCCCAAACACTCCAGGGCTTTCCAAGGCGTCCTCACCCGGCTGCTGGGCCGGCAGTGACTGCCTCGCTCCACCAGAGGAGTCTCCGGCACCTGGCAGGGCGCGGGCACAGCTGGCACAGCTCCTGTGGCCTCTGGCAAAGGCCATCTTAGAAAGTCGGCCTTTCTTGTAGGCGCCAGGCCGGTCTTGGGGAGCTCGGGCCTGACACCCCACACCACGGTTCTGGACAGACAGACCTGCACGAACACCTCCTGCGCGCGTGGGTAAGGAGAAGCCACTCTCACCTGGTACCAGGTCAGCTCCGGGCTCGGGGGGTCCCCGTCGCAGCCGAGGCCGGGGCAGTGAATGGCGTCCGTGCTGCCCAGCCGGAGGTAGCGCGTGCGGGGCCCGGGGTGCGGGCAGGGCGGGTGGGGCTCCATCTGCAGGACCGTCAGGGCGCAGCAGGCCTCGTCGCCGGGGCTCCTGGGGAGGCAGCCGTGAACACAGTGAGACCCAGACACCAGGCCGGCTGCTTTCAGATAAGAATGCTGTGGACATACCTGGGCCTGGGCCTGCAGACGTACGAGCCCTCGTGGCTCCTGTCCGCGGTCAGGAAGCGCAGGGCCGTCTTGTCCAGGAGGAGGTGAGACTGCTTCCCGGTGATTTCCTGTAACGCGCCTCCGGCCCCTGCTTGGCGGTACCACTGGGCCTCGGACAGGCCGGGCCGCTGGCAGGGCGGGCGCGCAGGGCCCCGGGCGGGGGAGACAGGCTCTCTGCGGTGGAAGCGGGGTCTCTCCGACTCCGCGAAGTCACAGAACAGGACAAACTCCTCGGCGCTGTCCGCGGAGAACTGCCACAGAAAGTGGCTGGTGTGGCAACCTGCAGTCACCGGACAAAGCCACGCAGAGGCGTGCTCAGGGCGACACTGACCGATATTCACAGAGAACAGTGGCATCGCTCCACTTCTCTGTCCCCGGGTGTGGGAAAAGGGGTTTACATGCTAGCGCGCCCCCTCCCCCTGGGCACCCCGGCATCCTCAGCACCTGGCACCTGCAGCATAGCAGCGGGTAATATTTGATTATTATCTAATTTTATTTTGAGCAGGCTAAGCCTGTGTATTCCTCTTTCTGCTCCCACCCAACACACACCTGAGTAACGGGGTCCCCATCAATACTTGCATCAGCTGAAGGCTGTTCACCCCAATAATTTCTCCTCTTACAAGCCCTTACTCGTAAAAAGAATGTGTTCTGTGATGTGTGTCATGCTACTGATATATCGAATTATCTGTCACTTGGACCATAAGGTTCAGTGCTGACATGAAAAGCGAAGCCCTACCTGAAATGTTAAGCCCTTTAATCCTGTCTCCCGTGACAAACCAGAGGAAGAGCCACCCCACGCGCAGCATTGTCCGCCCGGGCCGCTCCCCCGGGAGCTCCGCGGCGCTGGGACTGGGTCCGCCCGCGAGGCCGCCTCATTGCTGTGAGAAGGGGAGACAAGAAATCGAAACCGTGAGCAAAATGCAAGTCACACAGGAAGCTTCGAAAGGGCAGGTCCTTCCCGGGAGTGGCAGCAGGGTGTGCAGGCTGTGCTGCCCCCCCTCGAAGGGGGGCATGGCAGGCAGGCACCCCGCTCGGGCGGGCGCAGCCCCGCGTCCTTCTGACCCGTCTCCACACCGGGTCTTCCTGCCACGACGCACCTCGGTGCCATTGCCATGAGTGGCTTGGAAAGAATGAAATGAAAAAGCTCCTGAAAAGACAATGCCCGCTCAGTGAGATCTGGCCTCCCGCCTGGGAGTGGGTGGTGAAGTCTGCACGCTGCTGGCTGGTGAGCCCAGCGAATGAGGAACTGGCCTCTGCCGCAGTGAGAGGAAGACGCTGTGGCCATGGCATTGCGACCCAGCCCCTGCGGGGAACGGGACAGGCCGCCGCAGGGAGTGTAGGAGCTGGGCTGGGCCCTCAGCGGCCGGGCACTTGCTGGTAGGATGGCCACTGGGATTTTCAAATCACCGACAAGAGGAGAGGCCAGGGCCTGATCCGTCAACGCCGCCGCAGGGGTGTATGAGGTGGGAATGCCGTCCCGCCGGGGGCCTGCCTCAGGGCGCCAGCCTGACTGCTCTGGGGCTGGCCTTCTTGCCATTACCTCACTTGGTGGAAGGCTCTGGAGTCTCTATTATAAGAACACGAATTCCATTCATGAAGGCTCCTTCCTTATTTCTAAACACCCCCTATGCTTCCCCTCACCCCCCTATGCCATCACTAGGATAAGATAACACCCTTGCCAGGATATTATCTTTGAGGGTTAGGATTTCAACATATAAATTAGGAGGCTGGGGGAACACAGACATTCAGATCATAGCAGTGGGTAATATTTTATTTTATTTTATTTTGAGTGGAAAAATAAAAATAATTTTCCTATAGAACAGTTTTCCTGTGCCTCTGAGAGTTCTGACTGTGGTCGCTAACATAGAAGTAAGCTGTGCATTATTCTTGGGCTTTACAGGCATCAGACATGTTACCCCCGGACCTCAGCTAACACTTCTGAAAACACTTCCACCTGTTGCAGGCAAACTGAGGAGGGGACAAATGAAAGGTACAACCCTGTTCTCAAGGCCTGACCGTGTGGAGAACAGCGTTAAAGAAAACATTATTTGACACTCATTAGAACATCAAGGAGGACTTTGTTCAAGACCGGGGCCGGGGGAGAGAGATCAGCTAAACTCGGAGCATAAGGACGGGCGGGGTGGTGGGGGGGTCTCCAGCCCAGGAGCAGGGCAAGGCTGTCCGGAGATGGACACTTCCCAAGAGGAGAGAGGACGGGCTGGGGAGTCTCAGGAAGCTGCCTAACAGGATTCTTTCCGGAGAAGCCGAAGGACTTAGAAACAAGGGTGGGGAGTAGAAACGTGACCAGTATCAGGTGGCTGATCAGATATCGAGGCCAGGTGATGACAGCAGAATTCCTTGCAGACCAGACAAAGCAGGGCTGGGCCCAGCTGACCTGAGAAGAGGTCTTCAGAGGAGCCAGACAAGGAGAGAGTCTTTGTCAACATGAATATGCAAATAAACAATTCCATGAAGATGAAATAAAGAAACAAATGCAGTGGTGACAGGAAAGGGAAAATGAAGGGGAAGTGAAGGGAGGGGAAGGGAAGGAGGAGAAAATAAGCTATCCTAACTATCATATGGCCTGAAAGTTCCCTTAAAAAATCTTCTCCCTCACATCTTTGATTCTTAGGAGGCTCACAGCATCAAGCTCTCTGTGGACCACCTCTAACCAGCTAGGCAACTCTCCTGCTCACGCATTCCTGCCCTCACTGGTCCTTCCTGCAACCACTCCCTCCACCCACGCCTTTCCCAGGACTCCATCTTTTCTCATAAAGAAACATTGCCTTTCCTCATCTTATAAAAGTCTTCATTTTCAACCATTTTCCAACACACACACACACACACACACACACACACACACACACACACACCCTGTCTCCAATATCTTTGGATGCAGGAGGAGGGGATAACTTTAATATTTATAAATTAGTTATCAATAATTAATGTTTCTCTAGCAGAAACAATGAGCTTGAGGTGTCCTTGGGGATCCGGTTGGAACAAAGGAGTCTGGGGCAATAGCATGGGGGAAGGGCTCATGCCAGAGAGGTCTGGAAGCTTCCGGGAGAAGAGGTGGGCTGCCCGAGGAGCACTGGCCCGGAAGGGGAGAGAGGACCTAGAAAAGGTGGACAGGACATGGCCCAAAAGGAAGAAGATAAAAAGCAGCACAGGGACCCCCTGACACTGAGCGCAGAGAGAACTTGAAGGGGAGACTCGATGCCCATGGCAGCAGCTGAGGAGGAATCAGACACCAAAGCACTGCAAGCGTCCAGTATGTTTGGCCACCAAGGCGCAGAGGAGCGCACAGGGAGGGAGGTGCCAGAGCTGTGCCGTGACAGGGAGCAGGGGGACACATGGGTGTGGGGATGAGCTCCGACCCCCACAGCCCTCAGCGGGAAGAAGACTCCTCGCTGCGGAGAGGAGCTGTGGCAGGACCCCACTGTGGTGTGGGGAGTGAGGAGGCAGGTGCAGGTGAACAGAAGTGAGAGTGAGACTCATGGGCTGATTTCTCTGAGGAGGCAGGAAGAGAGGCAGCCTGAAACCGCAGAGACATGACCTTGGACAGGAGGAGGGCAGAGCCACTCAGCGGGCACTGCTCCCAGCCCAGCATGCCAGGCGGAGGCATGTGAGCTGTGGAAGCGGGGTGCCCAGGAGTTCCCTGAGTGTGGAGGGCTGAGAGAGGCGGGGATGCTGTGCTCTCTGTCCCCACAGGCTGCTCTTTCTCATAAGGACTGTGATCAAGGAAAGGGCAGGCTAAGCTGCCGCCTTTCAGGACGTGGCCTGCCCCGCATCTTCCCTTCCTTTGGCCACAAAGCCCTGAGCAGATAGATAATCTACCATCGCCAGCCTCTGGCGGCATTTGCCTACGCTGACTTCACCGGCCCTCTGCCTGCGTGCCAGGTGAAGAATCCAGTCCCCAGCACCGTGGGAAGGCCTGCATGACCTCATTTGGCTCTCATGTCTGACTGGGACTTCTTCCTCAGCCCTCCCTGCCCACCTGCATGATGACACCCCTCCCCTCTCACCCACTGAGCTGCCAGCCAGGCTCGCTCACATTACTCAGGTGGCATTCCTTTGTCTCAGTGACCCAGGCTCTCCTGTACTCGCTGGGTGAGAGTTACTGTCCTTCTGTTTTATTGATAGACAAAGTTCACCATGCTTGAGATAGTGGTCCCCAGTAATAATGGGTGCATAGTGGGGAGTTTAGGAACAAATGTGGAGACTCTGTCCCACTACCACATGCTGTTGCCTCACAGAAGGAGATGAGAGCCCATCAGGGGACTCCCAGTGTCCGAAGGTCTCTTTCTCAAAGCATTTTCCTGGTTCTATATGAGCTGCACGTCTTCTGTCAGAGGTTGAGGATCACTGCCCTCTGAGGGTCAAGGCTACAACTTCAGTGATCTTTGGTTGATAGTGAACTAAGAATTTCACTGACCAGAGCTTTGGGTGGGAAAAAACAAAAGAGAAGAAAATGCTGGAGAAGTCAGGTGTCAAATTTGGCAAACATCTTGAGTCCTTACCCAGAAAATGCTCAAAGCCCTATGAATAGATTTATGTTAGAAACACCAGTTTTTATAAATGGGAACTCCAGACATGTAGAAATATAAATTTTGCCAGTCAGATAGCACACGTATTATTACAAAACATTTTATGAGAAGCAATTGTGTTAGCAATTCATTTTGAAACATCTTTAAGCACTTTCTGCAGTTTACATTTTCTGGTTAGGAAATCTAGTGAAAAAGTGTACTATTACCTTACCTTTATTTCCTGTTCTGAAGAAGAAAAAAGAGGAAGGAACTTCATGTCACTTCAATGACTGCTGGCTGTTCTTGCTGAAGAACATGTGAGAATACCAGTCTTCAGAGAATTCTCTTCTCTCTCTTCCTAGTCAGACAGGTAACTGGAGAAGACGCAACAAAAGTTAACTCTTACAAGTCTGGAACTACACTTGGGGGAAAAAAGACAATTTTTATTATTTTGGAAGGGACCCCTGACATTGTCAAATCCATGGTCACATAGAGGAAAATCAAATAACTCCCTCTATCAGTCGCAGGAAATGCCCTGAAGGCGAAGCATCTGAGACTCTGTGACTACCTCTCAACTAGCTGAGGTTTGCGGTTGGGCAAAGTTGAAAACTGAGTAAGCCTATTTCCTTTACAGGAATTTCCTGTGAAGACTCTTAGCACTCAATTTCTCAACTGTGGGTGTTTGTTTGTTGTTTTTGGTCTTTTACAACTAACCTTCTAAGTGTAACCTTGAAGATAAGCACTTAGTTTTTCTTGTGATTAGGAAATAATCTGAACTCACCAATGTTTTGTGGTATACATGTTTATTAAGAGAAAAGCTTCAAAATATAACATAATTAAGAACACCATGGTTCTTTGACAAGACAACTAAAATCCTTTAAGAAAGACCTTTTAGCACTTAGGGACCACACTGGCCAGAAAGAGCTTTATCTAGGCAGCACGGGGGTAGGCAACACGCTCCTCTCACATTCTAATAAAGATGAGGACTCTTTGGGGAGCCCCCACCATTCTGGGCCACTTCTGCACACGGCTGGAGGGGAGCCTCAGGGACAGCTGGAGACCAGGTTCTCTTTGGGGTGAAGGCAGCGTTAGCAACTATAGAAGCAAGCTCAAAGCATTTCTGTGCTCCTCATGACCCTACAGATTCCTAGAGAACACACGTCTGTCTTTGCAGGCTGTGAGGAGGGAGGCTGGGGAGCCGGTGAAAGGACACTCCATGCGGGGCTCAGCCTGTGTCCTGGAAGCAGCACGAAGACTCCCTGGGGCTGGGGAGAGGCCGG